TGCCAGACTTTTTCTTAATTATAAAAATGGGGGTGTTCCATGGGGAGGTTGACGGCTTAATGTGTCCTAATCTAAGTTGTGTACTGACTATTTTTGACAAGGCTAATAGCTTCTCCTTAGGCAGGGGCCACTGAGGTACCCAAACCGGATCATTTGACCTCCAGGTGATTTTGATCGAAGTGGGTAGGAGAGCTTCTTCAGCGGCCCCTAAGAAAAACCCAGCCCTTGCCTATCTTTTTTGTTCTCTACTGGTATTGGGGATGTTTGACCCTGTAGGGCATTGCCCAAGCCTTTGCCGGGGGTATATCCCTGGTTTCTGAGTATATCCTTAGCCTGGGGGGAGCAGTTTGACGTAAGCGTGACATCCATCTGAGTGAGGATGTCCCTTCCCCATAGAGACACTGGCAACTGCAACACAAATGGTTGGAAATGGCCCTGATGACCCTCCTCATCACACCAGAGCAGGGTTGAAGCACTAACCTGAGGAGCTGACACCATCCCCAGGCCCTGCAGCGTGTTATCTGCAGTGTTGGTGGGCCAGTTGGAGGGCCAATCCTTTCTAGAGATAATGGAACGGTCAGCTCCTGTGTCTAGGAGCCCTGTTATATTCTTGCCATTGACCTTATGTGAGAGCATGGGCCTTTTATCAAGTATTATATGGAGTCCCTCGAAGACTTCCCCTGAGGAACCGAAACCTTGACTTTCTCTAATTTTCTGCTTTGAGGGGAATCTCTTGTGGAGACTGGGGAGCAGCAAGAGCTGCGCTATCTTGTCTCCTTTATTGATTACCATAGTACCCACAAGAGATTGAACCATAATTTTAATGTGTCCTGTGTAGTCTGAGTCTATGACCCCCGGGACTACTATGAGACCCCGAAGGGCCGTGAAGGATCTCCCGATCACCAGACCCACGGAATTTTCGGGTACCGGTCCCTTAAAGGTGGTTTCAACCACTTGAACACCCATATCAGGCACTAATATAAGTCTGTAGGCGACACTGAGGTCCACACCTGCTGACCCAGGGGTGGCCCTTGTTGAAGGCTGCCATCCTGAGCTGTCCTGTCTCTGGGGCGGGGGCCCGCCTGTGAAGGGGGCCCCCTCTGGCCATTTTTTGGCCCTGTAGCATCTCGTCCACAAATATGGTTGCCCTGAGCATCAAAGACCGACCTACACTCCTCAGCTTTGTGTGATCCCCTCTTGCATCGCCCACAAACATATGGTTCTTCATTCCTAGGGCGAGGCCTAGCATCTGCATTGTTTGGGCAATGACGTTTAATGTGTCCTGGCTCCCCGCAGGCAAAACACCCTTTAGCCTTACATTTCCCTTCTAACCCGCGAGGTCCCCTCTGCTGTACAGCCGCGGCCAGGAGAGCAGCCACTCCCGAGTTGGAGAGCGGCCCCCCTATCTCTCTACATATCCTAATCCAGGCGTTGAGGTCCTTGTTCTTATGAGGAGCTATCGCTGCCTTGCACTCCTTTGTACATTGCTCAAAAATCAGCTGCCTTACCAGCGGTCGAGCCACTCCCGGATCAGAAAATATCTTATCGGCAGCATCTTGCATTCGGGCCACAAAGTCAACAAATGGCTCTGTGGTACCCTGAATTATTTTTGAAAGACACAAGGAGGCTGTTCCGGCACCACTTACCTGCTTCCAGGCACGGAGCCCTATGGCGTTGATTTGTTCATAGACAGCGCCGGGGAACTGAGTCTGATCATCAGCGTGCCGACCTTCTCCCATAAGCATTTCCTTGTTCCACCCCTGGTTTCCCCGATTGGCGTTTCTCTCAGCCTGCTCTGCAGAGAACTCTGCGTACCAGGCTCGCCAATCCAGGTAACTACCCGAGGGCAGACACGCCCTTGCCAGCTGAATCCAGTCCGCGGGGGTGAGGGGCCCAGAAGACAGGTTCTCCAGCATGGCAATGGTGTAAGGCGCAGTCGGCCCAAAGGTTGTAACTGCATTTTTAAGTTCTCTAATCTGCTTTATCTCAAAAGGCTCCCATGCATTACGTCCCTGGCCCATAGCTACTTGTACAGGAAATATCCCGTAGGGGCCACTATCTATCCCAGGTAGTGGATGTACCTCATGAGACAAACGTCCCCCCTGCCAAAGCCGCCTGTAAAAATACCGACCCGCCGGGGGCGGAGCATAAGACGGCGGCCATGATTGGGCGGAAAATGGGGGCCCGTGCATCACTTCCTGTTCTGGCGAAGGGGAAGGGAGCTCCCGGGCGGCCGCCTCACGGCGAGGGATCGCCTCCGGGAACAGCCCCCAAGGTGGGGCGGAAGGCTTCGCCTCCCTCTCGCGCCGGGGAGCGCTCAGGAGCTCTCTACTCCTCCGCAGACCAAGTTGAGCGGAGCGCAATTCACGGCACAACGCTGGGAAAGAACCCTGCGACTCCTTATCGAGCGACTTAGGCTCCTGACAGCTGGTCTCTTTGGCCTCCTTGCCATTCAACTTTCCCTCGTCCTCGGAGTCAGACGACTCCGAGGCTAGAGCCCCGTCCTTCTCCTTAGCATCTTTGTTCCCCTTGACGGGCCCCTCTCGGGAGCTCCCCGACTGGGCCTGCTCAAATACCCTGCGTACTTTTGTAAGCTCTTGAGAGCTTTCTCCACAACCACCCTCGCTCTTAGTGTTGCTACCTAGCATGTTTCCCATCTTTTAATATGTTACTCACCGCGTGAGGCCCAAGGAATCCGCCACTTACGCGTGAGCCTGAGGGGAGTCTAAAAGCCCTGTAGGTGCGCGCCACCCAGAGCCCAGGCTTATCCCCAACTCACCTGTCTCGCAGCTCTGTACTGGAGCGTTGTCCGCTGTCACGTCTCGGGGGTGATCAGTCCCCGTGCGGGCCACCAAATGTCAATGTCGCTCCTGGCCGGCAGGAAGGACACACGACAAAGTCTGGCAGTGGACAACCTTTTCTTTTATTTTCCTTCTCCGTACAGCCTGCCCTGGGATCGCTCCCAGCCGAAGCCTCCTTTGGTCCGCTCCCCGCGGCTCCTTCTGGGCTTCTACTTCCGGGCTTCTTCTTCCCCCCCAGGGGTGGCACCAGTATATATACGGATACAGTGTCCAATCATGTTAAAGTAAGCAAGGCAAGCTGATTGGCTAACATCATCAGTTGCCAGGCAGACTATATTGTTGAGCGGGTTGCTTACGCGGTAAGCAGGAAACTAACATGTTCGATGGGAGGGGTAATCTACCTCAGGCTTTACTCTTTACTACAGGCCTCACGTCCGCCAAGTGAGGCGACCGGGCTTGGGGCTGCGGCTCCCAACAGTAAGAAATGGGGAGAAAGAACATTCTCAAATGAGAAGGAATCAAGAAATGGAAGAAAGAGAAGAAAAGGGGATGAAGAAAAGGAATTAAGATGCATTATGTATATATCAACTCCACGCAAGGAATGTGAGCATTAGGTATTGGAAACATGTTCTAATAAAACATTTTTTAAGTTCTGGGCTTCCCCAAAGTTCCCTTAAATTCCCCAAAATTCTCAGGGAAGAACACTTATGTGACCTCTAAGATAGGATACTAATTATTCCTAAGACTTCAGCTTTTGCCTTTAACGTACTCCTCTTGCTCTCCAAATGCATCTTACCTGTGCTTGCGGTCAGGACTTGGACTTCGAAGGCCCCTTAGCATCGTGTCTTCCTGCAGCATCTCCAGCTAGAGCCACAACCTAACTGTTCAACCTAGAAACCTGTGCATCTACTTTGATAGCTAAACACAGCATGACAGGAGGGTTTAGCGTAGGATCGCAGGGTAGGATTCAGCTGGGTTTGATTGTCATCTGTCACATTTAACAGCTCTGAATTATCATAGGTCACATTTGCATCTCTCTGGGCCTTGGGTTCTTTATCTGTAAAGTGGAAATAGTAACAACACTTACCTTACATGGTTCTATTTGACATCAAAGAATTTTTCTAAAGCACTTCTGTGTTTGTTTACCTCTTCATCTATTTTAATACTTAATATTATTACTTCTGTCAGTTTAAAAACATTCAGTATCCTTCTCCATTGCCCTTAGCATCCAAATTGCTCATCTGGTCTTCATGAAGAACCCAACATGCTCAGAGTTAGCCCCACCTCAAGTGCTCCTTCCTGGCAAAAGGAACAGCAGAATATCCTTCTACTATCCCTCTGGGGCTTCTCAAATGTTTTCCCTTCTGTTGCAAAACACTCTTTCCTCCAGATCTTGGCTCCTTGTGTCTAGACAGCTTCTACACATTCAAGTTTTGGGTTGGGTGTCACTGCCCTGGGAATTCTGGCTGAGGCCCAGCAACAAATTCCCACACACCCCTAAAATTTCTTTTGCTTAGGACATGTGCTTCATGTGTAGCTTGTAAATGACTGTCTGCCTGGCCCCTCCCTTGAACGGCATTCCCTGTGAAGGAAGGGACGAGGTCACTTCTTCTTTTCCTTGTCAATTCTTGGAACATCCTACATGCTGAAAGCATGATTGAAAAGCATCCACAGGCAAATATCCCAACCAGAACTTATGCCAAGTAAAGAAATTCTGTAAAATATGAACTAGTGGACTCCAGAGAGTGTTGAGAGTGGGGAGGCTAAAATATTCACTGTTGGGCTTGTTGGAGAAGGATGGGCTGCACTGTAGATTCCAATACTCAGTATTTAAAGCAGAGTTAGAAGCACTGTTATACAATTTTTCAGTGCTATAATTCTGATACACCAAATAATTTCACACTCATCACATTTGATGACTGCTGCACAGGGACCATCTTAGCACTTTCCCACTAACCATAGTTTCATTTAACTTGACTTAGTTGAATGTGTTTTTTTCTCAAGTTAGAGCATATTCTGGGATATTTTTCCCCTCCCACAGCTCCTAAATTTCAGAGTTAAAAGTAAAAGATGTTCTTCTTCTTTTTTTTTTTTTTTTAACAAAGGAGTGGTGTGCTTGAACTGTTATTTCATACTGGTATGATACTTCTTGTCTTCATGAGATTGCTTTCCTAACAATTGATTCTCCTGCTAAACCAGGTGCAGTTATATGATAGACAATGTGATTCTGCTGATGAATGGTGCATTACAAAAAAAATCCGTGAAAGAAATTCTGGATAAGTGCCATCCACTGGGCAGTTTTACAGAAATGGAAGCAGTCAACATTGCAGAGACCACTTCGGACCTCTTCAATGCAGTTCTGGTTGAAACCCCACTAGGTACAAATGCATAAGCACATAGCTGTGTTTGTTATCAGTCATTGGAAAATGTACTTACAGTTCACTATTGTTTTCCACATATGCAGTTTCATACTGTGCAGATTCGTAAGTGTACAAGGGGCACTAAAGAATCATCTAGTCTTGCTCCCTCATTTTTCAGATCAAAAAAGTGAGATAACCTGCTCAGAGTCACACGCAAAATCTCACTGCAGAGGAATAGCTGGAGCTCACCGCTCAACCTTCAAGGCCTTGTGTTTTCTGTGAGCCCATAGCATGTTAGTGACAGAACATACCATGACTGAAAACATTAGTCTTCCAGCTGAGTTTTACATGGTTACTTCCTTATACTTCATTTTAAATGAAGGTCTAAAAAAGTCAACCTGAAGAGCCTTCTGTTTTAGGAGACTTGGAAATGTCACTTTATTGAGATCCTCTATCAAATGATCTGAAGCGATGGTGAAATGAATGTCAATTTCATTTATAATTTGACCCTGGAAAGAATTGGATTACCTAAAATGCTAAAGGGGTAATTTCACAGACATTTATTTATCTATTATTGTCAGAAAATCAGCATAGGAGAAATCCAGAATTAGTCACTTGTCAAAACGCTTGCCCTTCGCTTCAATTTAGAGGGAGTCCTGTGGATTAAACCCAGGGCCATATGTACACTAAGTATGTGCTCAACCACTGATGTCCCCAGCCAAAATTTAAAGCAGAAATTTTTAACATTAACTGTACTACTAGTCTCTGTCAGTTCATCAAAAAGAAGAGTTTGCACTTTCATTGTTTGATCATTTTTGTGCTGAAATTTTATAATCTGAACAACTACATTGAAGGTAACAGTATGCAATATAGTTTTAAAAACAGCAAGTTTTAAAAGACAAAAATAATATTTGTGCCACCCATTGGCATCTGATGCTGAGGCGACACAGCCTGCAGAAGAGAGTGAGCCTAGAATCAGACAGCTCTGACCTTGTCCCAACAAGGTGACCGGGAATAAGTCAGTTCACCCCAGTTTCCTTGTTTTAAAAACAATTGTATCTGACCAGAGAAAGGTTTTGAAAACTAAATAAAACATAGTATTAATACAACTCAATGCCTGGTGTAAGTTAGGTTACAAATGGCAAATGTTACTAGTAGATAACATTTACTGGGGACTCAGGAGAGATTTTCAAAACCAATTGCTGAGTGAATAGTTCTAAGGTGTTGTGAAGCCTAAATACGTAGAAATGTGTTTAATACAGCAAGTAGTTTTTAGAGCTCACACATCATAAGTGCTTAATAAGGAATAGCTCCTATCATCCTGGCTGCTGCTGGTCACAGTAAGTCTGTGAATTGCAGCTCCTTGGTGTGCTCATTAGAAGTCAGCAGAGGGTGGGAAGTTCAGGGAACATTCTCTACAGTTTATACCTTGTTTTGATTATTTTATTTTGTTTGATATTTTTTGCTTTTAGCACCATTCTTTCAAGACTGCATGTCTGAAAATACTCTTGATGAATTGAATGTTGAATTACTGCGCAATAAACTATATAAGGTAATAGTTTTCCCAGATATTATATTTTTCTTGATTATATAATACACCATAACTAGAAAGCTTTGCTAACTAAGTTTCTTTGTCTATTAGCCAACATCTGCAACTAGGAAGCTTATAGATTTGAAATGTAGTTTATCATTTAGCCTGACTCTAGTTACACTCATGCATGTCAACTTCCCCCAGCCACAACAGTTTTGAGAAGAAATAACATACTCTACTGTATTCTTAACTCCTTGTACAGTGCTCAGAACATTAAAAGTGCTGATTGGATGGTAGCAGGTGGCTGCATAAAAGAGTAAGGTGACCCATATGAACCTATGTAAGGCAACCACCATGCATGATTAGTCTTCCTTTACAGCGACCACTGATAGTGTTATGGTGTCCCATATCTCACCATTAATCTGCCCATAGAATTTACCTCGTGTGTGCAGTTTACCAGGATAACCAGCTGGTGGTCACTACAGCATCTGCACCACTTTGCATAATGTGACTGTCTGGGCTAGGCTGCCACTATTAGAGGAGCCCTGTGTACACTCATGTAACCATAGCATCTTTGGACACTTCCACAGGGTAAATGAATATATAGTGCTATGCCATATAGATTATATATAATATATGGTGTATATGTATATAGCATGATATAGTGAAATACTATAGTGGTCCTCTCAAAAGCACTGTATTACAGGCAATTCTGTTTGGAAAGAGACAGATGAGCCTTGAGGAGTCATCTAAGGTACAACTAACAGAAGGCAGTCTTTAGGGAAATACACAGGCTTTAATTCCATTACTCTACTAGCAAAACTATGAGATTTCTGATCTACCCATTCCTCAGATGAGAAAAACTGATACATGGAGTGGTAAAGATTCCTTAGCAAAAATCCTTTGGGTAGTAAGTATTAGACTGGGATTCAAACAGAGGCAGTCCTATACTACAGCCCAGATACTGCCTGTCCAATATATTTCCACGCTCGGAGCCATCCTTAAAGCATCTCTGAGAGATTAAATGTCAGCACAAGACCGCTAAAATCATTTGCTGAGCTCAAAAAAGAACTTGGCACTCTTGTTAGAATAGCCAGAATTAACCATGTGAAATAATCCAAGAACCATGTGAAAAAGAAATGTTTCAGTAATTACAAGCTACGAGACGTGCAGTTTTGTTCTCTTACGGAGTTCTTTTTTAGTCTCTGCAACGTGCGGCAATGTGCAAGTTTCTACCAGATTTATTAAAAAGTGTCTCCCTATGGGAAAAATAATTCAATTCCCATTAAAGAATTTAATAAGCCATGAAAAGCTGACCTAGAAATTTCCAAAAGGAAAATATGTTCATTTTATTGTTCTATCTTTCTTCTTTTTAAGTCTTACCTTGAGTCATTTTATAAATTCTGTAAGAATCATGGGGACATCACAGCAGAAGTTATGTGTCCCATTCTTGAGGTAAGAAAGAGTCTTTGAATTTTTTATGTCAAATAATGTGCTTATATGCCTTTCCTTGTTTTGATCCTTCTTTAGCTTACAAATTTTATAGCTATAAAATTAGCAGTACATTTTAATACACATAACACCTAATGACTTCAATGAAAAGGAGCAATTTTTGAGGGTTGGGAGTGTAGCTCAGGGTAGAGGCTTAGCTTATCATGCCAAGGCTGTGGATTTGACCACAGCTCTGCTAAAAATATACTATTTTCCAAGTTTCTACATAGAAGAATTATTCTGTAATTAGGAAAAAAACACAAATGTTTGATCATGATTCATTTTGATGTAGTATCTGGAGGGCATATTAGAATTATTTAAGTTTTAGTATACTACAAGCAGTTGATGAACAATCTTACAGTAATTACTCAAATTCCCTATAATAGAAGAACACAGGGTAGCTAGAAACGTTTACATCTTGGCACCAAGGTGCACTGTGGCTCCATCCACAGGGACATCATTCCTGATACAAAACCAATCCTAAAGTGAAGGCTGACCCTGGCAATCCTTGAGCATTCCAGTTTCATTAGGAAGACTCTAGTTCAGTGATTAACAGTTGGCAAACTCATTTCATTATCTGTCAGGTGCCACTATTGGTGTCTACCTGGACAGCTGATGGCGCACAACAGTGTACCCCACTCTTGCACTGAGTGCATCTGCTTAATGGCACTGCACGTGTGCATCCAAGGCTGGACTCACCTCCAGCTCACTTCACTCTTCCACCTCCGCTGACACCTCTGCGCTGTGCCCCCGCCCTTCTTCCTCTAAGAATGCTTGATCCCAAATCTATGACGTGCGACTGATAATGATTTTGAACAAATCGACAGTGTTATTTTTTCTTGCAATGACAATAAGTTGTGATTTGAAAATGCATATTTCTAGAAAAGAATGAAGGAAGGTATAGGATAGTCAATATACCCTGTACTACACAGCAATCTAATTCTCGGCAGTGCAAACAGGCAGAATCAAACCAATGCTGCCTTTTAGTCTCTGCTAACCAGATACTGTGTCTGACTGTACTTCAGGATAATCACAAAGCAGTCTTTATACAATTTCAAAATGATAGGTTTTTTTCACTCAAAGGATACACACATACACATGAAAACTAGTAAAATATGATAGATAACACACACAGCTATAAGGGAAATGAAACTATAATAGGGATTTAAAGGCAACCATTTTCAATTGTGGAAGAAATAAAGTCCATGTGGTGAAGATGGCATTAGGTGGGACCCTCAAACACATAAGATTTCAACCTGTGAGTCCTGAGCTAGAGTGTAGGCTTTGCAAGCTAGGGGAGAAATGGTGATGAGGATAAAGACTTGCAGAGTATGGAGAGTCCAAATGACTGGCTTGTCAGTGCGAGCCATCTCCTCTTGACAGGGCACATGAAGCCCTGCCTTCTGTCGACCCAGCTACCTGTCCATTCACTGATGCCTCCTCTTCCCTGGCATGGGAGTTTCACCTACTCCTCCAAAATGTCGTGTGCACAGGTGGTTTCTCCTTGGCATGCAGTGCACACACGCTCTGCTGTCTTGCAATGTCTGCAGTGCTACCTGCCCTGCCTTACTGCCCTCCCGCAAATTCTAACATCTTAGAACTAGAAAGCACACAAAAGAACATCTGGGACAATTACCCCCATTGGTACTCTCTCATCCTAATTTTTATTTTAAGGTTTCTTATTGCCATGAATTCTCCCTCTTGTATAACTTATCTTATTCCTGTAAGGTCTAAAATGGTTGACAGGACTGGTCATATTCAGTGGCCAGAAGCAGCTGCCTTTGTTTCCAAATAAGGGCACTCCCTGCTTCTGGCCCACCCATAATTTCCATGAGAGAAATCAAAAGATCAGACGATACTAACTCACAATCACTCTGATAGGAAACACCTGTTCTAACAAAAGAGTTCCAGTAAAATCTGCTGCATGTCTGGTTTTGTTATTGGTTAATAGTTAAAAGTAATGAGTAAAGGATAGCACAGAGCAATTCTTTTCAACTTCAAGTGCATGTCAAGAACTTTGGAATCATGTTAAAATGCAGATTCTCGTTTGGCCCTGGTTTGTGGCGAGACTGCCTTTCCGATGAGCCTCCTGATACTGTCAAAGCACTGAGCCACCAAACATTTCAAGCAGCAGCATTATAGGGAACATTTTCAATTTTGCAGAATTGAAAAAAAGCAAAATTGCAAACTATTGTGTTGGGTTAGAAAAATAGTTAAGATATTATTTTTTCTCATAGCAAGGAATGACGGCACAAACCTGTAATCTCAGCATCCTGGAAACTGAGACAAGCAGATCACAAATTCAAGCCCTGTCTGGACAATTTAGTGGCTTATTGAGACGCTGCCTCATAAATTTTTTTCCCTGTCTCATAATTTAAAAACAAAATTTTAAAAGATGCGATGGAGTTCAATGAGAAGCCCTAGGTTCAATTCTCAGAATATATTTTCTTGTGTGTCAGGCACTGACTGTTCAAAAACAATGAATAAGAGAGATGTGGTGATGTGATTCCTTGTAAAACCTCAGGTATGATTTGGGTACTTAGAGTAGAATTTCTGAGCTCAAGAGAAGCTTGGCAAAACATTTGGAGCAGACAGAGGAGGAGCCCATGGAGGACAGATTGAGAGAAAATGGTCAGAGTAGGCAGAAGAAAAACCAAGAGAGTGAAATATGGAGGATAACAGAAAAGAAATTTCTAGAATGACTGGATGATTAGATGAAACCGAGTGATCTAGCCTCAAGGTGGGAGCTCAGACACCCAGCCTAGGCAATTTAGCAACTTAGCAACACCTCGACTCAAAAAATAAATATATAAATGTAAAAGTCTGAGCGTGTAGCTCAGGGCCTTGGGTTCATCATATATATGATATTAATATGTTTGATGCCAGTTTTTTTGCCCAAGCATCCTGGTAGGCACATCTACTTACATTATCTTGACCTGGCCTTTAATGAACTATAGTGGATATTACTTCCACTTTTGTAGAAAAGATATTTGTGACTCTAGTGGCCTACGTGACAGACTAAGGATGCCTGGGAAGTAAACTTTGGTAAGGTTTCAAGAGTCATAGGCCATTGCCAAGATGTGTGATCCTCCTCTGGCAAAGCTACTCCATTCCAAGAAGAGAGCGAAGGAACATTAATAACACATGTCTGCATTATAATTAGATTTAGATCAGGAGAGGACAGCAAATCACTTCAGAGCTGAATCTGTCCACTCAGGGTTCTGTTTACAGCATTTGGTAGAGCATCAGATTTCACTGATCTTATGTCTTACAAATCCAGTTTGAGGCTGACCGGAGATCCTTCATTATCACCCTTAACTCCTTTGGGACTGAATTAAGCAAAGACGACCGGAAGACCCTCTACCCGACCTGCGGCAGGCTCCATCCTGAGGGCTTGCGCATGTTAGCCCAAGCTGAAGACTTTGATCAGATGAAGACAGTAGCAGACCATTATGGAGTAAGTGATCATGCCAGGTTCCCTGCATGCCTTGTGCTATTTCATCACATGTGCTTTAGAAATTCACACATTAAACTTACACTTCCTACCAGAAGAAATTATAATTCTTATATGGTAGCAAGCAGCACCTCTTCCTGTAATTTTCTCTTGTGTTCCTTTGGAATACAAGTTTATAACCCAAAGTGGTTTTTTCTTAAAGGTTCTTGCAAAGTAAAGAATTGTTTAAGTCTCTAAGGAGTGATCATCTGAGCACTTTTTTGAAGTGTTGATAAAGCATGTTTCCCAAGAGTGCTATTCTGGAAATATGAGCTCATGGCAAAGTTATATAAAATAGCCTGACCCGATGGTCCTTCCCAATACCCATTAGAGAAACTGGGCTAGGCACAGAATGTCTGTGAGGGTGACAGGGAGAGTGTGTATATAGGTGGAATTTTATGTTCCCTTTGGCAGTGGAAGAAATCAGGAGAGGTCAGAAAGCTGCTTGTATCTACCCTACTACTCCAGCATCAAACTGCTATAAAACAGCCCAAAGCTTCTCAGGTCTCCGTTGCATGCCTCATCTCAGAGTTTAGTCCCTCTAACTTGTAGAATTATGTACACATTCCCCAAATCACTTTCTCCAAGACTAGATGGGCACCTGTCTGTCTCTGAATTTCTAAAGCCGTCCAGGAAAGATAAAATCAGCAAAGGCTGTAGAGAACCTCATAGCATCTCATGTCTAAGACTCTTCGGTATAATATTAGAGTGTGAACTTTTCCCCCATTCCTACCCTTTCCCACACTTGAAACTCTATGTGGGTTTTATCAGTTGTCAATCTCAAAGAACCCACAAGCCTGTACTCATCAAACTACAAGCATTCATTGAGCCCAAAGAACACGAGAGTGGAAATTAACTCTAGCAGTACATATGGAGAATAGAATAATTTTGGACTCTTGCCTCATAGTCCTGTATAAGCCAATAAGTTAGCATTTCATCCACACTCTTTTTTCTTTATCCATACTCTTAATATTTCAATTTTTGTTATTTTTTTCAGCAGACCAAAGATCTTGCAACAAAAAATTCAGGCTTTCTGGTAAAGATTTTAAAAAATGAATACACAATTTCTATATTTCTAGAAAAATATATTTATATGCACTTATAAGAAATGAAACAATTAATCTCTCATCTTTATTTTTAAGGTATATAAGCCTGTATTTGAGGCTGTAGGTGGCAGTGAGGGAAAGACACTGGAAGATGTGTTTTACGAGCATGAGGTATGATATAACGGAAATGCTACTAATTTGCAGACTTTTCTATTACCTTGGGTTTTTAAACTTTTTTCCCCACTTTGAGTTTTCTTTTACAGGTGCTCAGGCAAATTGAAGTTTGTCAATCAACAGTTTTAAGAAGTCCTTTGAGCATCAGGACCTTGTGGCTCACATTTGACAGCTTCCCATGCAATTGTCCCATCTGCAGTCAGATGTGCACATTGTGAAGCCCTAGAAGAAATATAGCTTTCCCATAATTAATTAATTAGGAAGCAAAGAGAGGATTTTCATGCCATCACATCCTGACTACCCACACTGTTTGGTACACCTCACTCTCTAATGCATCCGTTCTTCAAGGAGGTTAAAACACATGAGTATAGCCTTGGGAACCATTCACAGGGGAATCTGTCAGAGAGTTGAGGTTATTCCCGCACCCTAAAAAAGACAAAGGAATAGTAAAAAGACAAAGGAATAGTAAATCATTTATGTTCAATTCCTGGGTTATTGCACAGTTTAAAAAAAGAAAATTTTTCCCCTTCCCAATAGATAAGATCCCCCAAATCTAGAGGATTTTTCTGATATATTTCTTTGAAACCATCTCAGTATGATTGAAACTAATGAAGAAGCAAACTGCCAGGCATAGTGACACATGCCTGTAATCTCAGCCCACAGGAAGCTAAGAAAGGAAAATCATGAGTCCAGGGCTAGCCTGGGCAACTTACTGCAACTGTCTCAGAAAGCAAACAAAACAGAGCCAAATTTTAGGGTTGGAGTGGCTGAAGAAAGCGGTTTGCAAAACCTTTTGCATCTACCCTTTAAACGTTTTCCAGTGGCTCTCTAGTATCTGTCATAGACAGAAGTAAAAATGATCCAAATTATCCAGGGTATCAGGAATATATATGCTCAGGCCATCGCACCAGCGCTGCAAAGGAGGCTGCCGAGGAAGCTTGCTGTGGCAGGAAGGATGAATGTCTATTCCTGAGAACAGAAGCAGCCTCCGCTTCCTGGCTGCTTCTCTTGAGGTTTCAGAGCTGCATTAAGACTCAGTATCTCTCCTGCTTTTTTCCATCCTAAACGTCAAAATGGAAAAGAATGAAGGAACTGTTCTATTTCCATCTTTATGCCAGTTTTTAAAAATATTTTTTCAAAATTTTCCTTTACTCCCTTAACTTTTGTAGAATAAAACAATTCATCTATGTGGAAAATTGCTGCAAGTTATCCTGAAAAACTTACAACACTCCGTCTAAATTCCAGGAGCCTGTGACATTGCCCAGGAGGGAAATTAGATAGATTTAAATGTCTTTTTAATTTTTTAAAAATTGTGGGTAAGAAATACTTTACTCAACTGAGACAAGCCCACTAGCTGAAAGCCAGATATATATCTCTACAAAGTTGGACACACATTCAGAATACACCTAGAAATCTTTGTGCTAGCGGTGCCATTCTGAGTTCTGAAGTTTAATTGAGTTCATAAACTTACTTTTTAAACTGCCGTTGTCAGAATGCTACTTTCCTTTTAGAATGTGCTGAGTTGTCATTGTTTTTCTGTATTTGGCCCAATTTTGATATTGTCTACCTAAATACAAGTACTGCATAAATAGGATCCATTCTGTGACTTAGTATTACTTTACAAATGTCTGCATTCCAGATAAGTTGATAGTCCGTTTTTCTCTTCCTCAGGTAAAAATGAATGTTCTGGCATTCAACAGGCAATTCCACTATGGCGTGTTTTATGCTTATATAAAGCTGAAGGAACAAGAAATGAGAAATATTGTGTGGATAGCGGAATGCATCTCCCAGAGACATCGAACAAAAATCAACAGTTACATTCCGATTTTGTAAGCTGATGTGGGGATCCCAAAGGCTGAAAAATCATAAATTTTGAAAGGAAGTTATTAAAGAAAACAAAAGAAATTGTGCTACATTATCTAGATTAGCTAAAAGTAAGGCAGGTTGGACTTTTGTGAGTTGCTGATCTCCCAGAAACCCAGCAAACCAACCTTGAAGTTAATCATTTTTTTCATTTTCTTTTCAGTAGCCTTAATACTTGCTTCCACATTATGTCCCATTACTCATCAGGCCGTGCACATTAATTTTAATTAACCAAACAGTACTTTTTATTTTCTCATTTGATCATATTACAAACCAGATCTAATAAAAGTGTTCTATTTTTGCCTTTCCACGCTTCTCCATGGGTCCAAATATGAAGTATTGTAAACCCAAATATCGAGTTCAGTCATCCAAGTATTGTAATCCTCTTTTTAGTTTTTTTTTTTAACAATCTAAAAGGTTATAATTGTAATACCACTGAGACGTCATTGGAATCCTGTCGATGTCGCTCCCGGCCGGCAGGAAGGACACACGACAAAGTCTGGCAGTGGACAACCTTTTCTTTTATTTTTCTTCTCCGTACAGCCTGCCCTGGGATCGCTCCCAGCCGAAGCCTCCTTTGGTCCGCTCCCCGCAGCTCCTTCTAGGCTTCTACTTCCGGGCTTCTTCTTCCCCCCCAGGGGTGGCACCAGTATATATACGGATACAGTGTCCAATCATGTTAAAGTAAGCAAGGCAAGCTGATTGGCTAACATCATCAGTTGCCAGGCAGACTATATTGTTGAGCGGGTTGCTTACGCGGTAAGCAGGAAACTAACGTGCTCGATGGGAGGGGTAATCTACCTCAGGCTTTACTCTTTACTACAGGCCTCACGTCCGCCAAGTGAGGCGACCGGGCTCGGGGCTGCGGCTCCCAACATCTCCCACTTTTTTATTTTTTTTATAAATGTGCGCATCGTAGCCCTTCCTGGACTGGGTGCAGAGGCTTATGCCCTATGCGTAGGCCCACCGTAGGTCCTTGGCTTAGACCCTGATCGGCCGTCCCATGGTCTGCCAAGGCCCTGAGGCCCTCGTCCTTTTTCTAGGGCCAGGCACAAACTGGACGGAACCTGGATGCACACAAGCTTGCACTCATTTCCTCTCCGTAAAGAAATCCCCTCGGAGAGAAATTTAGACCTGGGCAGCATCTAACAGTCCAGCGGCTTACGTGCAGGATGGGGTAGGGCCTGGCTTAGGTTGAGTCGCACCGGGGGAGTACGCTCTTACCCGTCATTGACTCTCCTACCCAGCTATGTCATAATTTTTTAGAGGAGGAGTGTGGGAAGCTCACCGCCCCTAGACTCGGTCGTAGGCTAGGCGAGCGAGCCATGCATATGCCTGAGGATCTTCTTGTCCATTTCGGGCTACCGCTATTTCTATTCATCTTGTTGGTTGGTCTGTGATGGATCTCCGGTAGGGCAGGTCTGATCTTCAGTCGAGGGCTTTGTCGCCCGTGTCAGTCTCTCCGGTACCCACAGTGGTTCTCGTCCCGATTCCTGTGGGAAAACACAAACCGCGCCTCGGTTCCAGCTGACCACTGGATCCGGGCCCATCCATTGTCCTGTCAGGACATCTTTCCACTTCACCCACCCTTTATGGTTGGGGGAAGGGTTGCAGTGCTCCACGGCTGGGGAGCAATTATCATTATTTAAATTTAAAAAATTGTGTGTGAATAGTGCCATGGATAATCGTGCCTTTGGGGCCAGGCCTTGGCCTACTCCCCCTTTTTGTTTTTGTAAAATTTTTTTGAGGCTTTTATGAGCCCTCTCAATGATTTTTTGACCTTGGGGATTGTATGGGATACCATGTTTTAATTGAACCTCCATCATTTTGTAGAACTCATTGAAGGCTTTGTCTATATAGGCTGGTCCATTATCAGTTTTTAATATTTTTGGTTTGCCCCATGCGGCCCAAGCCGCCAGGCAATGATTGATCACATTAGACACTTTTTCACCTGTTTCTGTTGTTGCGAATATGACGTGAGAACAGGTGTCTGTGGAAACATGAACATATTTAAGAGTCCCAAACTCCTGTATATGTGTGATGTCCATCTGCCAAACATCACCAGGGATCAAACCTCGAGGGTTTACTCCCATCGGTATGGCAGGTTTGTATGTGGCACAGGAGTCACATAGTTGCACGATATCTCGTGTATCTGTTCTGGAAACATGGAAATGGTTTGTTAGTGTCTTGGCATTGACATGAAACTTATCATGGAAGGCACGGGCTTGCTCGATTGGTGTTAGTAAGGTAAAAATCCATAACGGGCGAGTGGCAGTATCAGCAGCCGCATTCCCCTGTGCCATGGGCCCCGGCAGGGATGTATGTGCTCTTATGTGGGTGGTGAAGACCTTATGGTGTCTGTTCTGAAGCAATGTCTGGATAGACAGGAACAGCCCAGCCACTGTGGAAGTGGATCTAATTAAACCGGCAGTCTCAAGCACTTGCATAGCATTGACCACATACCTAGAATCGGAGACAATATTAATGGCTTCTGAGAACCGTTCAAGAATCATTTTAACGATCTGCAGTTCCACCACCTGAGGCTGATCAGGTTCAAATTGTATGGTAACCGGGGGCTTGCCTAGGATCACATAGGCGCCTATCCCCGTCTTGGAGCCATCTGTGTATATTGTAGTTGCTGGGACTAATGGCTCAGAGGCAGTAACCTTTGGAAAAATTATAGGGTGCTGAGTGACAAATGACAAGATAGGGTCTTTAGGGTATTGATTGTTTATATCCCCATGGAAAACACATCTCAGAATGGCCCATGTATCTATGTAGGCAGCCAGGGTCTTGATCTGGCTGGCGGTATAGGGTACTCGGATGGCTTGTGGTCCTGAGCCAAAATGTTGGACAGCTCTATCATGCGCTTCAAGGGCCAATGAAGCGACTGCCTCCGGGTAATGCTCTATGACTTTTGCAGGTGAGACCTTAGGGTGTATCCACAGTAATGGTCTTTTTTGCCAAATCACCGCTGTGGGCTGTAGACTAGTCTGTAGCAAACAGACATCAAAGGGTCGCCCTGGTTCAATTCTGTGTAAGGTAGCCCCACCTAAGGCTTTTTCCACTCTCTGTAAGGCAGCTCTTGCCTCAGGAGTGAGCCTCCTGTGGGAGGCTATATCTGGGTCTCCCTTTAGAAGGTCGAACAGGGGTTTGAGATCTGAATTTGGTATATGTAAATATGGCCTAATCCAATTAATGTCTCCCAATAGCTTTTGCATGTCATTTAGGGTCCTAACGCCATCCATCCTAATGGTGACCTTCTGTGGAGAGACTAGCATAGGGGAGATTTTCGTGCCTAAGTAGGTCACCATTTCTCCTCCCTGAATCTTGTCGGGGGCAACATGCAGATTAGCTTGTCTCAGGGCCTCGACCAACTGGCCGAGCATATTATTTAGCATGTCTGGGTCCCTGCCGCTGAGCAAAAGGTCGTCCATGTAATGCACACATCTTATCTTGGGAGAGGATTTCCGTAGGGGGGCCAGTAGGGAATCAAGGTAAATCGGACACATAGTGGGACTGTTGGCCATACCTTGGGGCAGCGTTATCCACTCGTATCTGAGATCAGGGCTTTCTTGGTTAATGGTGGGTAAAGTAAAGGCGAACCTATGAGTGTCCTCTGGATGCAGGGGGATTGAGAAGAAACAGTCTCTAAGATCTATAACATAAACTGGCCAGGATTGAGGGATGGCTGAGAGAGCTGGCAGCCCCCTCTGGACCGCCCCCAGGGACTGCATCTGTGCGTTGACCGCCCTTAGATCATGGAGCAGCCTCCATCTGCCAGACTTTTTCTTAATTATAAAAATGGGGGTGTTCCATGGGGAGGTTGACGGCTTAATGTGTCCTAATCTAAGTTGTGTACTGACTATTTTTGACAAGGCTAATAGCTTCTCCTTAGGCAGGGGCCACTGAGGTACCCAAACCGGATCATTTGACCTCCAGGTGATTTTGATCGAAGTGGGTAGGAGAGCTTCTTCAGCGGCCCCTAAGAAAAACCCAGCCCTTGCCTACCTTTTTTGTTCTCTACTGGTATTGGGGATGTCCGACCCTGTAGGGCATTGCCCAAGCCTTTGCCGGGGGTATATCCCTGGTTCCTGAGTATATCCTTAGCCTGGGGGAAGCAGTTTGACGTAAGCGTGACATCCATCTGAGTGAGGATGTCCCTTCCCCATAGAGACACTGGCAACTGCAACACAAATGGTTGGAAATGGCCCTGATGACCCTCCTCATCGCACCAGAGCAGGGTTGAAGCACTAACCTGAGGAGCTGACACCATCCCCAGGCCCTGCAGCGTGTTATCTGCAGTGTTGGTGGGCCAGTTGGAGGGCCAATCCTTTCTAGAGATAATGGAACGGTCAGCTCCTGTGTCTAGGAGCCCTGTTATATTCTTGCCATTGACCTTAAGTGAGAGCATGGGCCTTTTATCAAGTATTATATGGAGTCCCTCGAAGACTTCCCCTGAGGAACCGAAACCTTGACTTTCTCTAATTTTCTGCTTTGAGGGGAATCTCTTGTGGAGACTGGGGAGCAGCAAGAGCTGCGCTATCTTGTCTCCTTTATTGATTACCATAGTACCCACAAGAGATTGAACCATAATTTTAATGTGTCCTGTGTAGTCTGAGTCTATGACCCCCGGGACTACTATGAGACCCCGAAGGGCCGTGGAGGATCTCCCGATCACCAGACCCACGGAATTTTCGGGTAACGGTCCCTTAAAGGTGGTTTCAACCACTTGAACACCCATGTCAGGCACTAATATAAGTCTGGAGGCGACACTGAGGTCCACACCTGCTGACCCAGTGGTGGCCCTTGTTGAGGGCTGCCATCCTGAGCTGTCCTGTCTCTGGGGCGGGGGCCCGCCTGTGAAGGGGGCCCCCTCTGGCCGTTTTTTGGCCCTCTAGCATCTCGTCCACAAATACAGTTGCCCTGAGCATCAAAGACCGACCTACACTCCTCAGCTTTGTGTGATCCCCTCTTGCATCGCCCACAAACATATGGTTCTTCATTCCTAGGGCGAGGCCTAGCATCTGCATTGTTTGGGCAATGACGTTTAATGTGTCCTGGCTCCCCGCAGGCAAAACACCCTTTAGCCTTACATTCCCCTTCTAACCTGCGAGGTCCCCTCTGCTGTACAGCCGCGGCCAGGAGAGCAGCCACTCCCGAGTTGGAGAGCGGCCCCCCTATCTCTCTACATATCCTAATCCAGGCGTTGAGGTCCTTGTTCTTATGAGGAGCTATCGCTGCCTTGCATTCCTTTGTACATTGCTCAAAAATCAGCTGCCTTACCAGCGGTCGAGCCACTCCCG